GAGCGCGCGTTTGCGTACCGACATGGTTGACAGCTGTTAATGCACAATTACCATTTTAGATCGACAAACTGTACTGTAAGATTTCTATTCAAACTGAAAGCATAAATCTAGGCTACCCGCTAACGTTTTCAAAGCACAATGCAAAACTGTGACATTTCATTCACTGACGCTCTACAATCGGCAGCGCTAAACCCGGAAGCGCATATACTTACTTGCCAGCAACCCGCCAAAATAAAAGCTTGCTGATTTTAAGTTTGAAAATTAAAAATTCAAATAATTCAAATTAAAAATAATAATTAAGGTTCAAATTAAAATAATAATAACATTTTAAGTTTACTATAAAATAATTGTATTTGTATTTAATACTACTAAATAAAGTGCAATAATATTATCACTATTATTAATTTATATTTATATTATATATATTAGTGCTGTCAATCAATTTAAAAAAATTAACTAATTAATCGCACATTTTTCTGAAATTAATCGCAATTAATCCCACCTAACATTAAAGTTTTTAAATATACTTTCATATTGCAATAATTTCACATTCAATCTTCAAATTAATGTACAAACAACATAAAGCGTGTGAAATTGAATAACTATATGAAGTGGTATAAATATATACATTTTCTGCCATGTCTTGACTTTGTGATCATTCTAAATGCATTTTAATAGACTGAATCATGCAGTGAAAGAAAACACACTAAATGCGCACACGCACTAGTCTAGACTTCACGTAATGTATGCGTGCGCTCTGTAGGGATGTTTTGAATGGTTTTTGCAAAATACTCGATAATGTCAAATCGCACAATGTTAAAACAACAATTACGATATTATCGCAGACGATATATATCGCACACCCCTAATCATGAGCTGTTCATTTGTAAAAGAACACAGTGCTGTGCTTAACTCTGAAACACACAGCACATATATTATTTATTTAAATTGCAGCCTTTGCCATTTTTTTTTTTCAATTAAAAAAAAGCTGTTTAAAGTAGTATTTGGATCTTGGGTGCCACTGTAATGCCTAAAATTGTTGCCTAGGTAGATAGTTCATGCTAAAACATGTTTTACAATGTGCTATAGAGTGATATAGTTTTGTATTAAAAAGCTGACCCTGTAAAAAATTCATCTTCCACCCCTTAACAGTATTTTACAGGCTTCTTGCTATCTTAATTAAAGTGTAAGTGTACTGAACACGGCCTTCCAGACAGCTCTTTTTTTTTAAAGTATCATGTGACAGTGTGTCTCCATCCCGAGGATTCATGCATGACAGGAACCTACTGTAGACACAGAACTTCTTATCAATGTGAGCATAAGTTATATCATTACACTGAATATTTTTTGGAAGATAAAGTAACACCATGCATTGCATAGCTGGGGGCAGATATTTTTTTATGATATGAGTTTGGTTGTGTAGCTGACACTAACTAGAGAAAATCTTTCTCTTTGTACAGATAACTCTGAAATACTTATCCTCATACTTATCCTATCTTCATACTTATCATCATAATAATGCTGAAAGACTTTTTACTTTCATTTAACATGGTTATGTAAGGGCATGTTCCCTGGAAAGTGCTTAATAAAATACTTTACTCAAAGATGACCAAACCTATGAATCATGAAAACAAATTTTACATTATGAAGCATGAAAGCTCCAGTCCTCATTCGTTGTAATGCAGTGGAAAAGCTCTATCAGTACATCCTTCAAAAATGTCTCTGTTTTTTTTTTTTTAACAGAAGAAAAAAGTAGCACTATTTGAAACGACATCGGGTCGAGTAAATGATAACAGAATTTTTTGCGTGTTTAACTATATCGTCCATATGCATTGATGCAAACCTGTCATCTTTTGGCAAAAATCTTTGTTTTGAATCCAGAATAGGTAATTTATGCGATTCATGCAGATCCAATGGGTTTTTTTAAATTAGGGAGAGGGGTTTTCAATGTCTTGAAGCAGCTCTGTTGTAATTAAATGTCACTTATAACATACATTTGAAAACCCAATTTAGTAATGAGAATTTGTAATGGGAATCGTTTATAAATCTGCTGTCAATGAAAGAGGAGCTCAATGGTTTTACTGATGTTCTATAAATTAAAATTATTACTGAATAATCTTTTTTTTTTTACAATACAACAGCGTTTATACTACAGTCTGATTTATTTATATGAAGCATAACAACAACATCAATAATAATTTAGCAATAAAAACAACACATGTGAATGTGGTCCGAGTCAACTAAGTGGAGAGTGAAAAAAATCTGTATAGATTCAAGTGTGATTATTTTCACCTATATCCTTATACGAAAGTCAACTTAAAGGGTTAGTTCACCCAAAAATGAAAATTAGCCTGTGTTTTACTCACCCTCAAAACATCCTAGGTGTATGTGACTTTCTTCTTTCAGACGAATCCAATCGGAGTTATATTAAAAATTGTCCTGGCCCCTCCAAGCCTTTCAATGGGGGTAAGCGGGTGTTGGCTGTCAACAGTTCAGAAGACGTGAAATAAAGTGTGTGCATCCGTAATAAAACGTCCCTCACACGGCTCTGGGGGTGAATAAAGGCCTCCTGTAGTGAATCCATGCATTTTTGTAAGGTAAATATCCATATTTCAAACGTAATAAACAGGGGTGCACGTAAGTGGTCCGCATGCGTGACCAAAATAAGAAATGCGCTGTGTAAATTAGTTCAGAGCGCGCGTTTGCGTACCGACATGGTTGACAGCTGTTAATGCACAATTACCATTTTAGATCGACAAACTGTACTGTAAGATTTCTATTCAAACTGAAAGCATAAATCTAGGCTACCCGCTATTGTTTTCAAAGCACAGTGCAAAACTGTGGCATTTCATTCACTGACGCTCTACAATCAGCAGCGTTAAACCCGGAAGCGCGTATACTTGCAGGCAACCCGCCAAAATAAAAGCTTACTGATTTTCAGTTTGAAAATTAATCAAATTAAAAATAATAATTAAGGTTCAAATTAAAATAATAATAACATTTTAAGTTTACTATAAAATAATTGTATTTGTATTTAATACTACTAAATAAAGTGCAATAATATTATCACTATTATTAATACAATTTTTTATAGTTATATTTGATGGATCACACCATGTGCCGTGTGAGGACCAAACAAAATCTCCAGGTTCTCATATGAGAACCAGGCTGAAAAACTTATGTGCAACCCTGGTAATAAACACTTTTTTCTCACTTCCGCTGACTGTCATACGTGGAAGACGTTCCGGCGAATGGCGTAGGACGTCGATGTTGCGTGATTAGTGACGAACGCGGAGACAAAACAAAACGCCGTTCACGAATTAGAAGCACAAAACGAGGATTGGTAAAGAAAAATGTCAGAGGATTTCGATATAAGCCAAGAGGACACTGGTTTTCCTTTGCTGTAAAAAAAACTTGTTTCTCGCGAGACTAGGATATTCTCACCTGAGTTTATGCTACGTCTACGTCATCCGCTGGACACCACTCTCTCATGAACGTGCAATTTTAGTTGTTACCCGACCCAAGCCTGATGGGTTCCAAAATACTCTCAAGTTTTGGGTCTGGTTCGGGTTTGTTTCCTTTACTCCTGCATTTCTCAGAGGCGCGCGCACGACGCATACGTCTTACGTCATCCGTCTGCATGTATTCACTACAGGAGGCCTTTATTCACCCCCCGGAGCCGTGTGAAGGACGTTTTATTATGGATGCGCGCACTTTATTTCACGTCTTCTGAACTGTTGACAACCAACACCCGCTTACCCCTATTGAAAGGCTTGGAGGGGCCAGGACCATTTTTTATATAACTCTAATTTTCATTTTTGGGTGAACTAACCTTTTAAATCCACATTTTAAAGCTGATTTTTTTAAATGTTCTTCTCGAGGCCCCATCTTTGTCAGCTTTTTCACCTCTGATGAGTTTGCATCGCTGCATATGAGCATGAATATGTGCAGTTTAGGAAGGGTAAGACTTTCTTTGCCACTAGTTTCACGACGGCTGGAACCGTTTCTTTGTTCTCTATATTCAGGTATTGATTGCTTCTCCTTTGTAAGCTTTAATTTCACTCTTTTGCTAATCCTTGCAGAGTTGAGGTCTTTGATGATGAGGACACCACTGTTCCTGTGTATGCTGAGAATGTTAAGTCTGGTTTTGGGACATGTTCAGCTATGAGGAAAGTTCAGCTATGCTGTTAATGAGTTGACTTCAAGACATCAATAGGTAGATCCTTTTGGACTAAGAGCTCCAAGCAAGTGACTCTTAGTTGTACTCAACGGCAGCCTAGTCAAAAGCTAATCAGTTTTTAAAGGATCGTTTCAGTTCTCTGAAGTATTAGTGTTTTTTTTCCTGGATTAAGGGTTTTTGATGTGGTCCCTGAAGATCTCCTTCTCTCAAACTGTAGTGGTGAGTCTGCCATTTTGTAGTTTCACTCTTTCACAGTTGATCCGCCATCTGGCCTTCCTTCACTGCCCTGACCAGATTTCGCACACAACTCTCCACTGGTTTTAGGTACTTTAGAGAGAGCCCACTCCTCTCTCTCTCTCTCTCTCTCTCTCTCTCTCTCTCTCTCTCTCATTCCCTCTTTTTTCTTTCACCCCAAAGTCTGCTTCTGTTGTCCTATCAAGTGTAACTCTGGGCCCTGATAGAGCAATTAAAGGCGCCTCCCTCCCCACCTTTGGTAATGAGGCCTGGCGCGTTTCTCACTCTATAACCCTTTAGTCTCCCCTAATGGGACATCATTATTGTCAAAGAAACAATGTAAATGGAAATGAACATGCTCATTAGGTCCCTGCACAGAGAACCCTTCAGCAGCATGCTGTGTGCGCTCCTAGTGATTCAGCCCGTGTCCCCTGTTAGGTTTCAGAGAGTGTGCAGGCTGATGTTTGTGTGTTCGTACGTGAAGGACTATTGCTCATCGTTTGCATTTGATAATTAACAACTTGCCTATTGTGTTGATGAAAAGGGGTTTTCTGTTGTTTGATCGATTTCTTTTTGTCTTTGTCAGGGCGCCAGGTCTCTGTCTCCAGGTGGCGGCAGCAGTGATGGAGCAGACAGTGAGGAGCAAAGGATTCAGTGGCTGCAGGAATTACTTGCGCTTAAGGTGAGCATTAAATACTTGCTTTATTCTGTCACTGTGGTTCTATTATCTTCTCATTGGAGACCTCTTAGGAGATTTATGTCCTTATTTGAACGTTTTGGCCACATTCTCCAGTTACACTTTATTTTAAGGTGTCCTTGTTACAGTGTAATTATATATTTAAGTACCGAGTAATATGTACTTACTATATGCTTGGGGTTTGGCTTAGGGTTACTTGCATGCAATATGCATAATTTATTGTTATTATAATAGGAAGTACATGTAACATGTAACAAGGACACTGTAAAATAAAGTGTTACCCATTCTCCTGCCTCCTTAGAAATAGAACACAGAAGGTGGCATACAATAAAATGTAATTGTTGTTTATATTTTTAAATAAAAATAATAATGCATGTACAAGTATGCAGATTATGACAAATATACAAATTTCATGATTCCAAAACAAAAAAAAAACAAAAAAACTGAAAAACATTTAAAAAGTGAGTGATGTGACGTGTAGCCATGTATGGTGTGGTGTCCCATACTCAGAATTTGTTCTATGCATTTAACCCATTCAAGTGCACACACACAGCAGTGAGTAGTGAACACACACACACACACACACACACATTGTGAACACACACCTGGAGCAGTGGGCAGCCATTTTTGCTACGGCGCCCTAGGAGCAGTTGGGGGATCAGTGCCTTGCTCAAGGGTCTCACCTCAGTCATAGTATTGATCGTGAAAGATAGCGCTGGTCATTCACTCCCGCGTCCCGCGATCTTTGGGTTGCAAGTCTGACTCTCTAACCATTAGGACACGACTGCCCCTAACATGGCAGCACTTTAGGAACCAATCCTCAATATTAATCCAACCCAATACCTAAACTTAACAACTACACTAGTCAACATTTGAAGTGGATCAAAACCTTCATCAAAGTTGCCCTAAAACTAGGGGTGTAGCGGTACACATATTCGTACCGTACGGTTCATGGGGCAAATTCCAAATGGAAGTGATCATCCCTATGCCTTTGAAGGTTGGTACACTACTGTAACTACAGATAGATCAAGCAGGTACTTAAATCGTAAGTACAATGTAAATACAGGTAGGTACAGCATAAGTACATTGTATCAAATGCTTAATTTGCCATGCAAGTACATAGTAAAATATAAAATGTATATTTTTTATGCCGGTGTACGTCAGCGAGTCAACTGACGGACATCGTGCTGCGTTGTCACGGGAACATCCCAGCTGAAGATAATGAGGAAATTATGTCGCTCCCTTTGCCAAGTGCATTCCAAACGACTACATAATGGCACGCACCAATGTGCCCTGCTCACTCCAAAGTCCCCACTCCAAGGGCTCTGTCCTTCAAAGGCATAGGGATGATCACTTCCATTTGTAATTTGCCTCGTGAACTGTTCGGTACGAATACGTGTACCGTTACACCCCTACCTAAAACCTAAAACCAAAATGCGTTCTTGTCTTAGGACAACTTCGATTAACTTTTTTGATTCACTTCAAATGTTGACTACTATACTTTACTTACTATTATTAAGCAGCAAATTAAGAGTTTATTAAGGCAAAAGTCGTAGTTAATAGTGTAACCAAAAGCAAAAATAATATGGCCACAAAGTAATTTTAGTTTTACTTAATGATACTTTGGAATTAACATATAAAACACCAGTGTAATGCTGTGAAGCAGTTTGAAATGATACCAGTTAACAAAAGAAATATATATGAAATAGAATTAAAAAGAATTCTAAATTCAAAACCATAGTAGTCTGATACACTGGCTGCCCTTTGGCTTATGAGTGTGTATTTGCATATGCGTGCGTCTTACTGGTAAAATTTCAGCTTGAAGGGGCTCATAACAGGTAGAGTAAGATGTTGTCCTCTGACCGCTGCCCTCTAACTGACCTCCATTCTTCATCATACACACGCACACACACATTGACTGTCTGCAGAGGCAATGAGGCAGCGGGAGAGAAGACTGCTGAAGAACTCAAGCTCTTCACTAAACCAATCATCCATGTCTCTCTTCTGACTTTTCAAGCCTCTCTCTCTCTTACCCTGCTCTCTTCTCTGCTCCCATCTTCGCCGTTCCTGCATTTCCTTCCTTTTAAATCTGGAGGAAACTAATCTAGTCAGTGTTTTTGTCTGTCAGATGCTTCAGTTTGTAAGGCTCAATGACAGTCAACGGTTCCAGCGGTGTGGAGTACTCATCCTCCAGTTCGTATTGATTTTGATGCCCAGGTGGATCCGTGCCGGGTACTTTAAAAACCCCCTTATGCTTTGATGTCACTCAGACACGAAACGTTGGTCACTCTATCTGAGCAGGCCTTCATTAGCGCTCTGCTTTGTTTCACTTCTCTGTCTCATATTCTCTGTCTTTCTGGTTTGAAGGCTGAGTGTCCTCTTGTGAATTTCTGAGCAGTAAATCCATACTTGTCACATTGGCAACCGGTCTGGGGCTGGCTTGTTCTCTTTGTCCTTGTTAATAATAACAGGGTTCAGGGCCCTGCATTTCCCGCCCAGCAGGGCTACCGTGTCATAGCAGCGGTAAACAAGCTTTTCTCCCTTTTAGAAAGCCTTTCGACAAGTCTCCTGGCCCTGGCCACTCAAGCTGAAAGGTGCGCTTGCTGTCTCTGCCAGAGTTCGTCTTGGCTAAGGTCAGAATAATAGAGGGCCTTCTTGTCAGGAAAATCTATATGTTCACCCCTGAAAAGTCCCATGTAATCTCTGGCGGAGATCCCCCCCCCCTTTTTTTTTTCTTCAAATAGCTGTGAAGCAAAGACCAATATTTACGGGCATTTGGGGAGCGACCTGGCTCACTGAGGCGTTCCTCCTGCTGCGGGGTTTAAGTGGAGGGAGAAGTCAGCCTTTTCCTATTGGCTGACAGGCGAAATGTCAGGCCACAATAATGCTACAGGTGCCAGGTTGGCGTGGAAATGCTTATCAGTGCCTTGTTCCCAGAGAAGCACTCAAAGAACAAATCCCGAAAAGAAAAACACTCTCTTTGATAACTTTGCTAGTGATCTTCACACAAATACCAATGATGTAGTGACTTTGGTCATTTCACTTAAAGTGCTTTTGAGTGTCACTTGCAAAGAGATTTCAACTTAATAGTATAAAAATTATCAAAGACGATTGTGTAATGTGTCAGAAATTAGAATTTTTGTGACGTTCTGCATAACCTTTAGAGTTACTGCAGGTTCACAATGTATTATTCACATGTTGTGAAATTCATATTATTACCATAAGATGAGTAATTATGACTAAACTAGAAAATATTACAAATAAATCGATAAGTGCAAGTTTTTGAGCCGAATGTAGCTGTATGGCAGTGTGTTGTATAATCGATTTATCTTATAATAAGGTAACTGAAATAGTTACTGTTTCACCAAAAATAACCAAGCTTTTTAAATTTTAAATCGCTATGAAACTGAATTGGTGATACTTCCACATTGTGACATACATCTGAAAGTAACGGATTATCAAAAAAGAAAAAAAAACGTTGTCCGGAGACTTGGTTCAGTCCATCAGGTGTTAATTGGATTTTGAGATGTGAATGTTGCACTCAAAAATAGAGGGAAATGAATGCGAGATTGCAGGGATGGGGGTTAATGTGGACATGACTGGAGAGGTCCGGTGTACGTCTGCAGAGAGAAGTCTGTCATTTCACTAGAACATCAAGTTATGGCATTTTGATATATAAAATTGCAAGGTCAAAAAAAAAACATGCATGAATGAATGATTGTTTAATCTAAGATGGATGTTGCCTTACTCTTAACCATGATGCCTTTGACTTTCTTCTTATGCCTTAGCATTCTTCCTGATAGTTGTGATACAAGATTGTGGACTTCTTGATTTTAGGCTCTCAGATCCTATAGTCACTTATGATCCTTATCTTTTCTTTTTCAAATGTAGGCCTACTTTGTTCCCACAGTTAATAAATGTTCAATGTGTTCTTAGGTTAGTGGCAGTGGCAGTATTAGGAACAATAAAGGTCACTGGCATTGTTCCTTATAAGTCCAGTTTATATAAATATTTAATATAGGTTTCAGTGGTTCTTTGTTGTTGTACTACATCTATTTCTGTTACCATACCATGTCCTGCATTTGCTATAGATGCATATGCAGTCTCTTCTTTTTATATACATAATATTTTTTTCATAGTTTTTGAATGGCAAGAGAATAAATCATATAACGCTTTTTCAATCACCTGTTTCTAGAAAAAAATAGCTTGTTTGGAGGGCTTCTCTCTTTGAGTTCTACAGTGACTGCCAGGCAGTGGCAACACTTTATCCCAAATAATAATTTAAGAACTAGTTATTCAATTGGCTCCACAAGACAGTAATAAACATATTTGAAAAAAAAGTAATGCTTTTGGTCTTTTTTTTATTTATAAAAATAAATTAAAAACGCTATGCTTATATATTATAGGGGGTTAGGTTCAGTTTGTAATCAAAATTATAGTCACGCAATATCATTAGATATTGCACATTAGATAATCATATACTGACAGTATATTCTAATGCCTAGGTCTCTGGAAAGTGATTTTGTTATTGCTGATTGTGTTCTGCGTGTTTGGATGATTGGTCCAGTGGCTATATCTTCCACTGGTGAGGAATGTTCCTTGAGTTTGCAGCCGGGAGCATGACCTTGTTGTGAGGTTGAGAGCGGAAATATGGTTTTGTCTGTTATTGTTTTTACATCACAAGCTGGAGACTCGGAACAAGGTGTGTCTGTTGAGAGCATATTTTTATTAAAAGCATACCCTTTCTGATGTGGAAGAGATTGTAATATGACACTTTTCCATTCCACTGTTGTGATTGGCTGTTGACATCAGAAAGGGTCACAAAGGGATGGCTTACCCTTTTTTCTCCATATGGAACTTATTTGCATAGTCTAAAGTGCACCCTTAGAACAGTGCATTTTTACCTATGTTTTCTTTCCAAAACACTTTTAAAACAGGCATTATGTGGAATGCATAAGTCCAAACATGAGATGATGGTTGAATGGTCACCCAAGCATTTGTGTATATTTTCATAACAAATCTTCCATGAATTGTTGTGAGACAAGCTGAAGTCAGTAAGCATATACTGCTATCTGAATGAACGTGTAGTGGTTGTGCTGCAGTTTATCTACAGTTTGTGGAATAAAAGTATGTATGTGAAGAGTTATCTTGTATTGTGGCCTTTGTTTAAGCCAGTGGGCCAGGTAAGGTCTATTCATGCCAAATGCAAATTTTCAGGGCAAGGACTCTTAAAAATAGAAATATTCACATGGGGTATCTGGTATGAGCATTTACATGGCAACAGTCCAGGGGTTTTTTTCCCTGTAAGGGTGAGCAGTCTGATTTTTTTTCTCCTTGGACTGTGAAGTAAACTGACTCACCAGTGAGATTTGGTGGGCCAGTGAGAGGTTACTTTTACACAATCCACTGCATTAGTCGCACTAAAGTAGGGCTGGGCGATATAGCTACAAAATTTATCAACGATATAATGTTTCATATCGTTTGGTATAGATAATTATTGACATTTTTTATAACCTTTTTTAAAACAAAAAGCAATAGAAGAAAATGTTTAAATTTAACCACTGTATTTTTAAAGGGGTCCTATTATGCTTTTTCACTTTTTTAATTTTAGTCAGTGTGTAGTGTGTATGTTTGGGCATAAAAAAGATCTAGAATGTTACAAATCTCAAAGTCCACTACAAAGGGAGATATTTCGTTTTTTTTTTAATCCCTTTTCAAGAACTACAACGAACGGCTCGTTTGGACTACAGCGTTTGTTTTCCGGGCTTTGTGATATCACAAAGCGGCCCATTAGAATATCATTAAAAATAATTCCCGCCTACAGAAATTCGAATGGTTGGGGGGTGGGGAGGGGCAAGGTTGTGGTTAGAACGCTTGGTTGAGTGAGTGCATCAGACGAGACGATGAAGAAGAAGTGCTGCTGCAGAGTTAGTGCATCAGAGAAAACGAAGAAGAAGAGCTGCTGTGCTGTAGCTTAAAATTTTCCACATGTCTAGAACAATTCTTACAAGTATACCACGCGTCGCAGACAGACGCCGAACGGCGCCGCCGGTGTGCCTACACTCATAGAAAATAATGCATTTGAATTTTAAAGATGTGGCGCGACGCGACGCTGCACTTCTCGTCAGGTGTGCGACCGCCTGAAACGCTGTTTTTTTCACCTCCATGCCCAAACGTCTTTGTTTGGGCTTCCGAAAGCGGATGATGTCAGGAAACAGTGGTTTCCAATTCCAATTCCGATTCCAACAATTCAAATTGCTGAATATGCATTCTGTGTGAATGGCTTGGTTTCGGTTTGAACCTTTATCAACCAGTTCTTATAACCAGTTCTTCTCAGCATTGAGCTTCTATATTTCTCTAATATTTTGAATAAATAACGCAGCAGCATCGCGTCTCGTGGGCTAGACTAACAAAACATTAAAATGCAACAACGTCACTTACATCATCACCG